TTAAAAAATAATAAAAATAAATAAAAATAATAGTGATAAATGTTTAAAGATAACGGTGATAAACAGTATTTTAATTCTTCATTAATTCAAAAATTCTGAATATTTTCTAAGGAGTTACTAGTTTGTATGTAAGATACATATGATGAATTGATATCCATCAACCTATGTAATTCTTCATACTTTAATAAAGAATATCTTTCTATAAATGCCCATTTATTCAGTTTCTCTGGTGTTAAGAAAGACCTGGAAGGATAAAGCTGCTCTGACATCAGTTGACATCAGAAAAGTCATTTGCATGTATATTATTTACCATTCCAAACTTCAAAAAATCTATATAAAGTATGTTTGTTATGTTTCATGAACTATTCTTCACCACCTTAACAAATAAGATACAATTACTTGACATTTATACATTACTAGAGGCTTGATGCAGGAAGAGGCCTGGAGCAGCTGGGATTGGGCAGAACATTTGCAGCGTCGCCATGGTGACAGTGCAAGCATCCGCCCCTCCCCTAGCCACTGGGCACCTACATATGCAAATTAATCCTCCATCTTTATTGGATTAACTTGCATACTCCTAATTGGCTGTTTGGTATCGTGAAGGTACGATCAATTTGCATAATACTCTTTAATTATTGTAGATTTTAAAAATATATTTTATTGATTCTTTACAGAGAGGAAGGGAAAGGGATCGAGAGTTAGAAACATGGAACAGCTGCCTCCTGCACACCTCCTACTGGGGATGTGCCCGCAACCAAGGTACATGCCCTTGACTGGAATCAAACCTGGGACTTTTCAGTCCGAAGGCCAGTGCTCTAGCCACTGAGCCAAACTGGTAAGGGCAGTGTAGATATTTTTTTTATTCAGGATCATATACTCTTAGCTAAATTCTATAAAATACTTAGAATATAATATCAGATCATTATTTTTAACCTTATTGTATGATTAAAGTACCAGGTGTGTTTATGTGATGCATGTAACGTATTTTGCAAATCTTAGATAACGACCTTTAATTCCTTATTCAGTTCAGCTCCCTCTCACACCCATTATTTATCCCATCCCATGACCTGTAATCTTATGAATTCACTTTCCACTATGTCCCTATTCTCTTCATTTGAACCTTTTAAATGCTTTTACTGAAATCTAGCTTTTTCCAGCTACCACTTTGTACCTTAAAAACCCTCTGTCACAACTTGTGGAAAGAACAATCAGCCTATTTTATGTTTCCCAATACTACTTATTGATGTACCATCATCATCTCTCTGAAACCTATGCCATCTGATTAGGTCATCCTTGGCTGTGGTAATAACTTCAACTTTCCTGGATGAATAAGCACTTTCTTTCTTATGGATTGGTATCTTGTTATACAGATCTTTTTCGAAGCCCACGTTGATAATTCACTCATTGTCTCTCAATTCACTGGCTTCTCAGAGCTTTTCTCCATTTCTATTTGAGCCATTCAACAGCATGCCCACACGTTGGATCAGCTCTTGAATGAAGCAGTTCTTCCTAACCAATCCCATCTCTTTTTCTTTCTTCTTTTTTTTTTTTTAATATATTTTATTGATTTTGTACAGAGAGGAAGGGAAAGAGATAGAGAGTTAGAAACATCAATGAGAGAGAGTCATCGATTAGCTGCCTCTTGCACACCCCCTACTGGGGATGTGCCCGCAACCAAGGTACATGCCCTTGACTGGAATCAAACCCGGGACCCTTCAGTCCTCAGGCCAACACTCTATCCATTGAGCCAAACCGGTCTCGGCCCATCTCTTTTTTTTATACATCTGAAATGCATCTCTCTCTCTCTGATTTCCCCTCCTGTCTATATTTTAATTACTTTACCCATTCTGTTTACCCCACTCCATTAGCTCCTTTCTGATGTCATTTGCATTTAGAACCAAAGTACAGTCTAGTAGTCTTCATCCTTGACTTTTTGCTATGGTTCACTTGCCTGCTTTTTCTTTCTCTATAGTAATTCCATGTTACGGTTCTAAATTAACACATGAAAATGCAACCTAGTTATTTGCTTTTTGTAATGGCATCCACTTTTTTTTTCTATTAGATTGTTTTAATTTTAAAATCAGGAAGCTTTACTGATTTTAAAATCCACTGTCAGCTGCCTGATTTTAACTAGATCTCTCTTGCTTCTCAATGCAATATTTTCTTTTGTAACCCTTCTAGTCAAGTGTTCAAAATGTTTTTTATATTCCTAGTGTTTAAATCTAACATCTCTTCCCAGGAAATGACCTTGCCTCCTGCTTACTAGAAAAACATAGAATCTACCTGCCAAATTCTCATCCATCTCCTCTATATCAAAATGTCTGTATCCATGCTAGGTCCAAGTTTATTTTAACAAAGAGGTTTGTAGATTATTTTACAGTTTCCTTCTTTATTCAGAAGAATGAGTCTTCCTTTTCAGGGATAATTGTTCTCTTCTAGAGCCTTCTTTAACAATTGAACTCTCCCTTCCTCTCTCCCACTCTCTATCATTTTACCCTCTCTGGTTCATTTTTTTATTACAGTTTACTTTCAGTATTATTTTGTATTGGTTTCAGGTCTACAGCATAGTGGTTAATAGTCATATACTTTACGTAGTATTCCCCATGACATTTCCAGGACCTACCAGGCACTATACATAGTTCTCAAAATATTACTGGCTTTATTCCCTATTCTGTACTATAATTCATTTCTGACCAGTAGATTATTAAGTCAGAAACTGAAGAGTCTGGGATTTTACTCAACTTGGAGATTTGTAAGCCTGCCACAGCTTTATATACATACTAGAGGCCCGGTGCGTGTATTCATGTACCAGTGGGGTCCCTCGGCCTGGCCTGTGAGGATCTGGCCAAAACCGGCCTGATGCACAGATTCATCCAGGGGTGCCTGGCCCGTCTCACCCAGTCCCAATCGGCAGGACCCCAGATGCTAACCTATCAGTTATAGTGTCTTTCCCCTGGTGGTCCATGCACATCATAGCAACTGGTTGAACAATCGGACACTTAGCATACTAGGCTTTTATTATATAGGATACTGCAGAAAACACAAGACCCATGGGTCAGAGAAAAAGACCATTTATTACTCATGGCAAAAACAACACGGCCCTGGCTGGTTTGGCTCAGTGGTTAGAGCATCAGCCTGGAGACTGAAGGGTACCAGGTTCGATTCCAGTCAAGGGCACATGCCTGGGTTGCGGACTTAATCCCCATTGCAGGGCGTGCAGGAGGCAGCCAATCGGCAGTTCTCTCTCATCATTGATGTTTCTATCTCCCTCCCTCTCTCTTCCTCTCTGAATCAATAAGAACATTAAAACAAAACAAAAACAAACACCAAAGCAATGTCTTGCAACACATCCTTATAGTAATTATAAGGCAATCTAGTGAGGGCCAGATGTCACCTGTGCAAGCAGCAGGATATTACAGGAAGGGAACTCCAAAATAAGGAAGAGAGACAGACAAGCACACCTTATCTTGCCTCTAGAATGTAAGCAAATTTTCACCAAGAAGGGAGAAGGAGACTACTCCCCTGGAATGTCTCCAGGGTGGGAAATGTTCTCTCTCTTTATTATAGCAAATCTTCCCACTGACCTTCAAGTAGACATTATCTCTAGTTTTCAAGGAAGTTTGTTATGGAAACTCCTTCACTGGACAGTTCTCTCCAAGGTACCAGTGACATACTAGTAACCCAATCAATGGCTGTTTCTTTAATCTCATTACTTTTTGCAGATTTTAACAAGGGCTATATTTTCTTTGTTTTACCGCTAAACTGCTCAACTGTTTTCTATAACTAATCTGATTTTTAGGTCTCTCTCTCTTGCCCATCTCTCTCTTCCTCACCCTTTACACAATCTTTCTCCTTTCCTGTTACTTCTTAACATTTCCTGGATTGAATTTGTATTTCTCCCTTTGTAGATAGTGTGAACACAACTTTTGCATTGATAGCACAAGATGTCAAAATAGATGTGTTTTTTTTTTCTACTTCTTCCATATACTGAGCTCCTTAAGAGCAGATACAATGACTATTGTGAATCCATGGAACCTTTCATAGTGTATACTCAGTAACTATTTTTTAATGAAATTAGTAAGTTAGCAAATTCTTAAACTATTTTTCTTTATAATATTTTATACTTTCCTCTCTCTCCAGGCTCCCGGAGTTCATACCCTATTTCAATTCACTTTTATAAATGGTCTTCCTCTAGATACTAGAGGCCTGGTACACAACATTTGTGCACTGGGGGAGGGTCCCTCAGTCTGGCATGCACCCTCTCGCAGTCTGGGACCCTTTGGGGGATGTCTGGCTGCTGGCTTAGGTGCACTCCCCACAGATTCCTTAGCACTGCCACAGAGGTGGGAGAGGTTCCCACCACCGCTGCGCTCGCCAGCCATGAGCCTGGCTTCTAGCTGAGCAGCGCTCACCCTGTGGGAGCTCACTGACTATCAGGGAGCAGCTCCTGCATTTAGCGACTGCCCCTTGGTGGTCAATGTGCATCATAGTGACTGGTCATTTCGTGTTTAGTCAATTTGCATATTAGGGTTTTATTATATAGGATGGTATTTGCTCATTGTGTTAATTTTTTGGTCCTTTGTTTTACTATTTCACTGCATCTTAGGGGAAATAACCTTTGTAGAACACTCAGCCATAGTCCTATAGTAAGCAGTCCCATTATAGAGCAAAGTATGAGAAATACAATGAAGTTCCGAATCAGTGACAAGCCATTCAGCACAATATCTGCCTCATGATAAAAGCTTAATACAGGTTTAAATTGAATTAATTCTGTTTATATATTTAAACACAGAAATTTAAGCCTATAAGAAAAAATTCTTAATTGTCTTAATCCTTGGAAAACCTGCCTATTTTTATTTCATGGTAATTCTGTTAACATTTGAATTTTACTTGTTATCTGTTGTTACTTGTAGTTGTATAATTTTGAAATACAAAATCAAAACAAATTTAAGAATTTTCTATTACATATTTTCAAAACTTTTTCTATACTCTCTTTATAGGTTATATGTAAAGTCAGATGTGCCACTGAACTTGACAAACACAAGTAAGTTTCATGAATAGCAAGGTTTAAATTTTGTTCACAGTGAACTTCTCAAGGTTGAAGGACATGGTGGTTAAGGGTACCTTAGCAGTTTTATAGAAAATCAAATTAGATTAGTTCATAGGAAGTTAATTGAATAACCCACAGTACTTTCTCTTCAGCCATATTGCTGCCTACTATCTGTTTTTGCCGTTCTCCTACTATCCTGCTTCAGATGTCAGACAAGGTTTCATAGGGTCCACAAACGCTAACAGTTAGATTATGCTGTTTGGGGAAAGAATGTATTGTATAGTTGCATGAAGTAACTAATATTTCCTTCAAAAATTCAAGCCAGGACACTTGAATTTACATTGGTAACTATGCAACTCATTTAACATCTCTATGCTTTGGTTTCCTAAAGTGCTATAATCCCCAGAGTATATTAATAATGAAAAGATCTATTTTAGATTTAAAACTACTCTCTGATTATTATATTTATTATTTAATCTGAGAGAATATTAATATCTAAACTTCTCAAACTAAAATCTTTGTGCTTTGTGTGTTCACTTGACAAACACCGCTTGTCATAGATTCACCATGCATTAACTATAGCCAAAGGCTGATAACGATTTATGACTTCCACTATTAAGAGAGATGCAAAATAAAAGAAATTAGTATGCCAAATAAATTTCTGGATCATATTACTTTGGGGTATAAATGTATCTGACATGGGATTGCTTTTATATAGATAGCTGTTATAGCTACTTGATGTAGATAGGCACACCTTACCTGAAGAGTTTTTATGAGGTGGTCTAATTTTTCTTAGGGGCAAGTTTTTAAGCATTTCCTTTTCAGAGTTTCTCTGTATGCATAGTATACATGTAACTTTGTAAGAAGAGGAGTTGTGGATAAGTGCTTGAAACTCTACTGTCCTTATGTTCTTTAGTCATGTTTGAAAGTAATGTTTGCTATGATATTCAGAAGTTTATAAAATTAAATATTGTCTAAAACATATTTCCCTTACCTCTTAAAATTAATATTAGTAATCACTTTAAATTTAGGTGGTTTGTTAATTTTCCAGATAAATTATAAAAGCCTGGTAATTCTTGGAATGGAAAGATCAATGAAAATATGCTTAGTAGTTATAAAAATGAAAAATTCAGGATTGCTTGAATTAGTGTTAAAATAATCTTACATTCTTCCTGGTAGAGGCAATTGAATTCAAGTCCATATGAAATCATTTTAAAATTAATGCTTTAAAATCTAATGTTATTTTAAAGTGCTTTAGATACTAATTTTATAACATCGATAGCTCAAGTAACGGAATGATTATTAAATTTGTTTTTAATGAAATTATAAACTGAAGGAATTATTGTACCTAAAGTAACACACTAATAAATTTCTCATTAATTTTATAAATATCTAATAAACTAATTTCTTTTTCTTTCAGAATTCTATTGCATTTGGGCTTTATATTAGCAAGCCTTATCTTTTTAGTGGTGAACTTGACTTGTGCAATGCTAGTCCATGGAGATGTCCCAGAAAATCAGTTGAAATGGACTGTGTTTGTTCGAGCATTAATTAATGATAGCTTGTTTATTCTTTGTGCCATCTCTTTAGTTAGTTATATATGCAAGATTACAAAAATGTCATCAGCAAATGTCTACCTCGAATCAAAGGTAAGTATAGTTCTTAAATTTTCATTTAAAATAAATCTAACTTCAAGTTATCATCATATGAAGCATATTTTAATGGGAAATTTATATATGTTTTCAAAAATTCTGAATGTTGGAAACATGTTTGAGCATGAAGGAATGGTCACAAGAAGTTAAAAAGTATTCAAAAACTTGCCATTTCACTAACCAAAATGTTATATTTTCTATGATTTATGTCTTTTGCATTGGAGGCTAATTAAATGAAATAAGCCAAAATTTATATTAATTATCACAAATAATCTAACACATAAAGCCACAGTAATAATTTAATATTTACTCTGTAGGGGTGGCAGTATGGCCATCAATTACCATATTATGTCTATATACACTTGGGTTAGCAGTGTTAAGATTCCATATTGGTAAAGTGGTGTTTATTTATATTAAGGTTTAGAAAATGTTCTTTCACCCCACAATATGAAGTCCCTATGATATTTGTAACAGTTAATCATGTAATTAAATATATAAATGCCTTCATTCTCCCTTATTCTGTGGATCAGCAAACAGAAACCAAATGCTAGCACATTAATCCTAGCAGTTTCTATTGTTGTTAACTAACATTGTGGGTGAGCCATGAATCAGTCATCACAGTGTCTGTGTGGTATTGGATATGGGGGTATAGATGTATGGTTATTGGGATGTGAGTTTATACATGTAAATGAATTTGATCTCATTTGGCATTATTGTCTATTCACGTAAAATAAGATAGTGTCCTAAACAGGACAGTTCTCTGAATTTTTTTTAGACTACCATATTGTTGAATATAGTTCTAGTAAAGTCAGGTATTATAATTAAATGTATGGTAGTCAACTTGTCTTTAAATTTAGGTGGAGACTTTCATTTGACTTTTTAAATATATATCAGTTGGATGCAGAATGAATATAGAAATCTGTATTTATATAAGCCCAGTGACCGGAATGATGGAACCACCAGAATGCCCGGAATGATTGGTGGCTATGACGTGCACTGCAGCAGCCAACCGACCTCATCCAGGCCCCAATCAGCCAGCCTCTGGCCAGCCTAGCCCCTCATCGGCCCCCAATACTGCAATCAGGAGAGGGGCCAGCTAGCAAACTGCCTGTGGCCCCGCCCTCCCGCCAGTCCAGCTCAATGGGCCCCCATCAGGGTGGACCAGCTGAACCCCACCCATGCACGAATTCTGGGCCTGTAGTATTTACTAGTATATAATATTGAGACTAAACTTAAACTTTCAAACCTATTCATCTTACATGGAAAATTATTTTTTTCAACTTACGTTCTAAAAGTTTCTAAATGTAAATATTTTAGCTAATTCTGGTTTTTCAATTTAAGTGTTAAAAATAATGGTTACTGCTGGCTCCCAACGGCTTGCCTGCCTCTGCCTGATTGCCCCTAACTGCTTCTGCCTGCCAGCCTGATCACCCCCTAACTACTCCCCTGCCAGCCTGATCAATGCCTAACTTGCTCCCTGGCTGGCCTGATTGCCCCTAACTGCCGTCCTCTGCCATCCTAGTCATCCCTAACTGCCCTCCCCTGCAAGTCTGGTAGCCCCTAACTGTCCTCCCCTACAGGCCTGGTTGCCTCCAACTGCCCTCTTCTGCTGGCCCGGTCATCCCTAACTGCCCTCATCTGCCAACCTGGTCACCCCTAACTGCCTTCCTCTGCTGGCCTGGTCACCCCTAACTGCAATTACAACTGCCCTCCCCTGCTGGCCATCTTGTGTCCACATAGAGGCAGCCATTTTTGACCACGTGGGGATGGCCACTTGTGTCTTGGAGTGATAGCCAATTTGCACATAACTCTTTTATTTTATTTTTTTAATATATTTTATTGATTTTGTACAGAGAGGAAGGGAGAGAGATAGCTAGAAACATCGATGAGAGAGAGTCATCGATCAGCTGCCTCTTGCACATCCCCACTGGGAATATGCCCGCAACCAAGGTACATGCCTTGACCGGAATCGAACCCAGGTCCATTCAGTCCCCAAGCCGACGCTCTATCCATTGAGCTAAACCGGTTTCGGCTGCATATAACTCTTTTATTAGATAGGATTGTACCAACTAGAACAGAACTAATATGATTTTGTTCCCTTTTTCAAAGTAACAATTCTAACTTGTTTTTTAAATATAAGTTACTGATAGTTTGAATAGCTTATTTCTGCTCTTTCATTTTTTTATTTTATTATGTATTTTAGGTTACCTTATAACATGTTTATGTTCATATATATATATATGTATATATATATTTATTTTATAAACTAATAAAGGTATTTAGAGCAGTATGTTTTCTCAAGTACTGTTTTGGCAGCTCTCTATAATCTTGTTATATTATTATATTCTTATTTAACAATAACAGATAATTTGCTGTTTAGATTTCAAACATGTCTCAAACATTACATATTTACACATCAGTGTAAATTAGATATTATCTCTGTATATAATTCTTCCTTCAATTCACTTTGGCAAGAAGTCTAAAATTCAGGCATCTGTCCTATTCATGCCCTTTAACTACCATAAGAAGTTTTCAGTTTTACTCTCTGCTTGATTATCAATGCATATGAATCTGGTATACTAAACAATGTAGAGATTTCTGCCCTCCAGGTTCTGGTAAGAGAAAAGAAACCTTCAATTGTTAAATTAAAAAACTTAATTTACCTAAAGGAGGTATAGTCTGTCCATTTCCCTATCTATCTAGTCTACATTTTATCCTCTGCATTGTATCCTGAATAGAGTTGTCTTTTCCAATCTACACTTTGATACCATGCTTTAACATACATCAAGAAATATGTAAGAAATTTCTTGTAAAAAATATTTATCTTAAAATCGTGTGTGTGTGTGTGTGTGTGTGTGTGTGTGTGTGTGTGTATGCGCCTAAGCGACTGTTACAACCAAATGACCAGAATGACTGGTCAACCAGTCGCTATGATGTAAACTGACCACCAGGGGGCAGATGCTCAATGCAGGAGCTGATCTCTGGTGGCCAGTGTGCTCCCACAGAGAGAGTGCTGCTCAGTCAGAAGCTGGGCTCATAGCTGGCAAGCACAGCTGCAGTGGCAGCAGCCTCTCCTGACTCTACTGCAGCATTACTGAGTGGCCATGGTGGGCACAGCAAGCCAGAATGAGCGCAAGCAGCACAACGCCCAGCCCCAGCTCAGGCTCCTCCCTGGCCACCTGCCACTTGGCACACTGCTATATCCTTGGAGAATGTCTGACTGCCAGTTTAGGCCTGATCCCCATAGGCCTGGCCTAAACTGGCAGTCGGACATCCCCCGAGGTGTCCTGTATTGCAAGAGGACACAGACCAGACTGAGGGACCCCCCTGACCCATGTATGAATCTGTGCACTGAGCCTCTAGTTATTGTATAATATTGCTGAGGATATTGTACACTCAATGTTCCCCAGAAAAGATCTTTTTCTCTAATTCAGTACCAACTTAAACATTATTGTTTAAATCATTCTTTTCTCTGGTTACTGTGTTGGTCAGCGGAATTATGTAGCTCATCAATCATAGATGACCTTGTGATAACCATTTTTGGTTCTGACTCTACCTCTAGTTTCTTCTCAATTTTTTATCACCATCTCCCTCATTCCCCATTACTCACACATATTCCTATGTTCATTTTGTGTGTATGTGAGTGTGTGTGTGTGTGTGTGTGTGTGTGTGTCTATAACTAATTCACATTCTCTTTTGCAATATAAATAAAAAATTGGATTGGATATACTTTTGGATAAGTTTATATCTTTTTTTAAGTATGTCAATTTTTTTTAATTAATTTGTAAAGACCTTATTAAGAGACTGTGTATCATAGTGATTAAGAGTTGGAAACCTGGGATCAGAGAGATAAGGATATAAATCTCATCTCTCTTTATTGGCTGTGTGACATTAGACAAATAGCAATATCTCTAAGCTTCACTCTCCTGATCTATAAAATGGAAATAATGATAGTGTTGATCTCATGGGTTGTTATGAGGATAAAAGTAGTATCTACCTTATAATATTGTTATAAAAAATAAATGAAAATGCATATAAAGTGCTTAATATAATGCCTAGCACTTGGAAAATGCTTATAAATGTTAGCTATTATAATCTCTTTTTTAAAAATATTTTTTATTGATTTCAGAGAGGGAGAAGGAGAGGGAGAGAGAGATGGAAACATTAGTGATGAGGAAGAATCATTCATCTGCTGCCTCTTGTACACCCCTGCTGGGGATCAACCCAGGCGTGTGCCCTGACCTGGGAATCAAACCAGTGATCTCTTGGTTCTTTGGTTGACACATACCCAGCTGGGCTAGCTAATATGATCTTAATGTATACTCGAGGATGGTAATGTAGCTTCAGGAAGTTGTTAAATACTTGAAATTGTTGGCAAAATTTATCTGGAGAGAAGTTCTATATATAAAAGGAACATGATCCAAAAAAATCACTGAAGCCCAGTATTTACCTTTTAAATATTTTAATTTTACTTGATTCTACCTTATTTACATATCATTCCACCCAGACATTGATAAAAGTTGATGTCACTGACACATAACATTTCATCTAATATTTAAGTTTTTCTTAGAAATTTTTGAAACAAATATTGTGGATCTTATATAATGGCCTTTTTAATTATAGGTATTTTTGTCCTAAAATCTGTATTACTATAATCTTCATTTTATTTGCATGGGTATAATAGACAATACTTTTTATCTATTGTTAACATTTCAAGTGTGTCTCATTAACTTAGACAAAATATTATAGAGTTTGGGTTTTTCTTATACAAACTCTTTATAAGGTAAACAAATGATATATATAACATGATTATTGTTAGAGCTGCTCTTTTACTCTCATTAGTTTTTTATTAGTGTTTGCTTTCATTCATTTGTATAATTTCCTGGTACATTTGAATTTATTTACTTTTTATTGGGATTGTAATGTAACTTTTAACATTAAAATGCATACTGATAAAATGTTTATCCTGATATTCATATGTATTTCAGAAAAAAAGA